ATCTCGGCTCACCGCAACCTCCGCCTCCTGGGTTCAGGCAATTCTCCTGCCTCAGCCTCCTGAGTAGCTGGGATTACAGGCACGCGCCACCATGCCCAGCTAATTTTTTGTATTTTTGGTAGAGATGGGGTTTCACCATGTTGACCAGGATGGTCTCAATCTCTTGACCTCGTGATCCACCCGCCTCGGCCTCCCAAAGTGCTGGGATTACAGGCTTGAGCCACCGCGCCCAGGCAAGACCCCACTGATACTCATTCTCACACATCTTTCTCATGTTATGCTCTACTGGCTGCTCTCAGCCAGCTCAGCCAGCTTGCCCTCTTCTAAGTAGCCTCTGAACTTGGGTTTCTTAACCTCAGCACTGCTGCCATTTAAGGCCCTATGAGTCTTTGGTGTAGAGCTGTCCTGCAGGGAGGAAGATGGTGGGCGGCACTGCAGGTCTTTACCCACTACATACAAGTAGCACTCCCTTAACAGATCCAAAACTTATTTATCATCTTACTAAGCCCTGAATCTACTTCTCCAAATCTAAGTCCTCCCCGGATACCTTTTTCCTTAACCCCCATAACTATCCATCACCAAGTCCTGCTAGTTTTGCCTCCTAAATGAACTATTTCAGCTGCCTCTCTCCACTTCTAAGGAATCACCGTCTCTTAGATGCTACAATTGGGCAACTATTGCCTCACTGAAGCCCATTTTTCACATAACACTAGCAGCTAGAGTCATCTGGTAAACATGCAGCTCTGGCAGCCCTCCCTGGTAACGCCATTCAAATATTTTAAATACCCAGGTACTCTGGCTGCTTGCACAGTTTCCAGGACTCTCCAATATGATCTGGCGCTTACCCTAGCCTCCCCTTGTGTCATTGTCTCTCTCTGGCTCTGACTTTCAACCACAGAGGCCATCCATCAGCTCTTTCAAGCCCCCAAGCTCCCTCCCCTGCCAGGGCCTTTGCACTAACGCCCTCCCTGAGCTCCACCCCCATCCCCATGCCCTCATCTCTTCCAGCTCAGCTCAAACATCAGTTTCAAGGGGAAGACTTTCTGACCTGGATTAGGGCGTGACTATGTTATACCTATGTCATACCTAGTCCCAATACCTGATACCTGCCCTAGTCTTTAAACGAGTTGAGGAAGCTTATTTTGTTCATTGCAGTACCCCTCAAATGGCTGTCTAGGACACAGCCGTCAAGAAATACTTGGAGCTGCACAGTACCACAAGAACAAATGAATAAGCCCTGTTCTTGGGTCATCGTCACGTCTCAGAAGGTGAAAATGCCCTCTGCAAAGATTGCTTTGCAGCTGTTGAACCTGCACCCCAGATAGCTGTGATACTGGCTGTGGTAGGTAGGATAATGGCTCCCAAAGAGGTCCATGTACTAAGCCCATGAACCTCTGAATATGTTATGTCACACCGCAAAGGGGAATTAAGGTAGCAGTTGGAATTAATGTTTCTAATTGCTGAAGTGGAATAGCCAGGTAGGCCCAATATAATCACAAAGATCCTTAGAAGTGGAAGACCAAGAAGAGTTAAGGTCAGAGTGTGGCTGTGTGAAAAAACCGGCCATTGCTGATTTTGAAGATGCAAAGGAACTACAAGGCAAAGAATGCAAGTGGCCTCTAAAAGCTGGAAAGGGCAAGAAAACAATCTCCCCCAGTCTCCTGAAGGGAACACAGCTCTGCTGACACCCTGATTTTAGCACAGTGAGACCCAATTAGGAATTCTAACCTTCAGAATTGTAAGACACTCAATTCATGTTGTTTCAAGCCACTAAATTTGTAATAATTTGTTAGAGGGTCATTGGGAAACTAATATACTGATCTGGCCATAATTGGAGGCATGGTTTCAATTTCCTCTAAAGAGTCTAGTCTTGGCTGGGCGCTGTGGCTCACGCCTGTAATCCCAACACTTTGGGAAGCCGAGGCGGGCGGATCACGAGGTCAAGAGATCGAGACCATCCTGGCCAACATGGTGAAACCCCATCTCTACTAAAAAATACAAAAATTAGCTGGGCGTGGTGGCGCGTACCTGTAGTCCCAGCTACTCGGGAGGCTGAGGCAGGAGAATTGCTTGAACCCAGGAGGCTGAGGTTGCAGTGAGCCGAGATTGTGCCATTGTACTCCAGCCTGGTGTCTGCCAACAGAGCAAGACTCTGTCTCAAAAAAAAAAAAAAAGAGTCTAGTCTTCACCAAGGTCAAGGTTCTAAGGCTAGAAAAGACCTAAATATAGCACCTGTGGCTGCTCAGTATATATCATCACATGCAAATAGCTCTTGATAATGTTTATGGTGCTACATGAGACTTGAAAGCTGAGGTTTTCTTTAATCTTTGAGAGCTGCCCTGAATCTGCTACTGGCTTAAATGCTATTTGCTACCCTCCCTTGTCCCCACCTTTTCTTTAGCCTATAAGTCTCATATGACTGGATAATGGGGCCCTTCTCCATATCTACTAATCTTTTAATGGAGGTACCTTGAGAACACCCATGCAACCAAAATTAACCTCAAGTTCAATATGAATTGGATAAGAAGAGAATTATAAAATCTTTTTTTACTAATATACATATTGTCCTTATTTTGATGCCCCTGAGAGCTATGTATAACTTCTGGTTTAAACTTAATAAAACTCCACACCAGGCCAGGCATGGTGGCTCATGCCTGTAATCTCAGCACTTTGGAAGGCCAAGGCAAGTAGATCACCTGAGGTCAGGAGTTTGAGACCAGCTTGGCCAACAGGGTGAAACCCCAATGCTACTAAAAACACAAAAATTAGCTGGGCGTGGCCAGGTGTGGTGGCTCATGCCTGTAATCCCAGCACTATGGGAGGCCAAGGTGGGCAGATCACTTGAGGTCAGTTTGAGACCAGCCTGGGCAATACAGTAAACCCTGTCTCTACCAAAAAATACAAAAATAAGCTGGGCACGGTGGCACATGCCTGTAATCCCAGCTACTTGGGAGACTGATGTAGGAGAATTGCTTGAACCGAGGAGGCAGAGGTTTCAGTGAGCCAAGATTGTAACCCTGCACTCCAGCCTGGGCAACAGAGTGACATTCTGTCTCAAAAAGAAAAGGAAAAAAAAATCCACAGCGGAAAAAGTGACTGGTCATTGTTTGGAATATAGTGATACCTATCGTAACTTAGTTTTTAAAATCCTCTTTCCTAAAGTAGCACACCTAGCATATACTTCTTTTTAAAAGTCAAGAGAATTGGCCGACCCGGTGGCTCAAGCCTATAATCCCAGCACTGTGGGAGGCTGAGGCGGGTGGATCACTAGGTTAGGAGATCAAGATCAGCCTGGCCAACATGGTGAAACCCCATCTCTACTAAAAATACAAAAAACTGCTGGGCGTGGTGGCCT